ATTTACATAGGGCGGTGGGCTTCTATCAGGCTATCAGACAATGCCTGGTAACTCCTGTGCCGGAGGGCATGTATTTGTGGCGAGCACTTTAAAAGAGGAGTCAGGGAGGATGCCAGGAAGGCACTCTTCTATGAAAGGAATCTGCAGCACATGGTTTTCTGAGCTCGTGAGCTATCTGGACGTGAAAAGACTTCTACTTGCATAACAGAGAACCCCAACACTTTCTATCATTTTAATACTGAATAATGAGTGCAATCTACTATAAGGTTAAAAAATTTAAAGAATTTTCTTTTGCAAATAAAGTTGCATGGTAGGTTAATGGATATAGTTTTGATTTAGGAATGAGAGGAGAATGTGAGAAAATCAAGGTTATACATCATTATGGTCATAAATAAGAACAGTTTATTTATTGTCTTTGACATCTGTTTGAGGTGTGTTTAGGAAAACATGCATTATTTCTAAGAAATTTTGTCTTTATCAGTGGTGCCTAAATTTTCCGATACCATCAGCAGCACAGGGAAACCACACCCAGGATGAAGGGCTTATTTTCCTTTGCTAGCTTTCCTTCCATGTACCCACAATTCTCCTTGTGTTTCTATCTGGCCTGCAGAGGATAAATGTAGTCTGCATGGAGCATAAATCTGAACCAGTTGTTCTGCCTTTAGTTAGTGCTTTACTGAGCAACTAAACATACACCTAGGCACATAGCCCATTTCTAGTAAGTCAGGAGAGTTAATATCTGGATGTAGCTCAGTGATGAAAGTAGTTTCCTTCTGCATGGAAAGCTGTGGCACAGTGTGTAGCACCCTCCAGGCTCATCAGCTACCTGATCTCAGAATTCCTTTCAGTTTTATAGCCATGAATCCCTATTTGAAAGACAGTGAAAAAGTCTATGGGGAAAAAGCCAGAAGTGTCTAGACAATTGGGTGTGGAAGGAGAGGTGAGCAGTGAGACATGAGCCAGTGAGACATGTAGGATCTGGGTTCCCTCCAGGCTATCCACTCAGTCCATGGCCTGGGGTTCCCTGACTGCCCCTCCCAGCCTGGGCTATATGAAAGCCTGTCTTCAGAGACTGGGCCCTGAATGCTCTGTGTTCTCTCTACTACTCTCTGGTCCTAGGATCCCTTGGCAATGGGAAAGCCACTCCTGCCACTCCTGCTTGGCCTCTCCATACTGGTGGGCTTCCTGCAAGGTAAGACCCTGGGAGATGGTAGGGTTAGGGGCTGCTGGGCAGACATACTATGAGATATACTATGTTGGGCTTTGGGGAGGTAAGGCCAGGGATAGAACATGAGCTTTTAGAAATGATACAAACATCTTTATTCCCACATTCTGACATCCCCTTTCTACTTTTTCCTCTGCTGTGCACCGTACAAGCTTCTTCACTTCCTCCCTTTCTCCTTGTCCTGGTCCTAGTGTTCTTCCTCCTTTTCTTGTCTTTATCCTCTTCCTTTGTCCTTCATACTCATTCTCAGTTCCTCCAGTTTACTTGGGCATGAGCCTAAGTTGTGTTGGAAACGGGGCAAGGAAGGTTTTGGATGGGACGAAGGCAACGCAGTTATGGGTAGGAATTGTCTAGTCATTGGTGGTGGGCTCAGGCAGCCTGATTTAGAGCTTCGATCTTCCTCCTCAAGGTCTTGTCCAATCCCATGATATGGGGTGAAAAGAACCTTGTTATTCTGCTCAAAACATCCCTTTATAGAATCCAAGGTCATGGGCCTCCCTACAGGGGTCAACTCTGCAGGAAACCAGCTCCTTCCCTGACCAATTTTTTTTTTTCTAATTCATCGATCAAAATGATAGGCTCAGCTCCTGTCTCATGCTTGAGGTGGGGCCCTGAGTGGGCTTCCCATGTGTTCTTTTGCCTTTTCAGCCTTGACATGTCACCAGTGTCCATTGTTGAACTCTAAGGGGAAATGTCACAAAGCACAAGGCTTCTGCGAGGCCGCTGGGGACCAGCAGTGTGTCTTGCGCATAATCTCTACAGGTATGTAAGGCCTGGGACCTCAGGCCCATCCTTGTTGTCCTTGATGCATCCCTCTCTAGAGCCCTGGGGGCAAAAGCAGTGTGGGAGAATATGTCTGTAAAAGTAGGAAAAGGCTCCCCTGCTTCTGGTACTAGCTGCCACTGGCTCTTGTTCAGACCAGCAAACTTATTAAGATGGGGGAATAAAGGGTTTCTGGTTGGTTCTCAGGGAACTTTTTGGTGAACCATACTCAGGAATGACAGGATTTGGAGCCTCAAATTCCAATAATCAGGTTTAGGAATGGAGTCCTGCCTGTGAGCTAGATTAGGTGTTGAGGGATGATGACCCAGATAGATACCATAGTCACCTCAGTGTGGCTGTTGTACACTGGGGAACCCGATTTTCCTCATTTACTGAGTTACTGATTTTTCCCCCAAAATATTTTGTCTATTGCCTTTCTTTTTCTCCAGGTGGAGAGAACCTCTTTGGGATCCAGGATTGTGCTGACAGGTGCATCAATCAGACCATCCACTATCGAGATGTGACAATGAAATTTAAATGTTGTGATTCCCAATCTTTCTGTAACAGGATTTAGAGACCAGACCTTTTCTAAATCTGTTGTATTTAATGTGAGTTCTTAGACCTTCCCTGTAACCCTGCAGCCTCAACAACACTGGGCCCTTTAGTTCCAATACTGCTCAAGCCTTGACACCGCCTGTTCTCACCAACAGATGTTTATATTTCAGTTGGTGATAGAGATGCTGTCCACTACCTTTACACCCCTCCATCTGTGACTGATGTAAGAGCACACTCTCCTCCCTTCTCTCTTCATTCTTATACTTTGTTTTTAACAAATGTGTGCTAACTGATAAACACTGCAATTAGGGGCTGGTTCTGCAGAAGTGACTATGACAGACCTGACACCTACCCTGATACGCAATACTTTCATTCCCAATCTATTCCTCTTCAGGATCTGGAATAAAAGGAGACCCTCATTAATCTGTTGTATTTAATGTGAGTTCTTAGACCTTCCCTGTAACCCTGCAGCCTCAACAACACTGGGCCCTTTAGTTCCAATACTGCTCAAGCCTTGACACCGCCTGTTCTCACCAACAGATGTTTATATTTCAGTTGGTGATAGAGATGCTGTCCACTACCTTTACACCCCTCCATCTGTGACTGATGTAAGAGCACACTCTCCTCCCTTCTCTCTTCATTCTTATACTTTGTTTTTAACAAATGTGTGCTAACTGATAAACACTGCAATTAGGGGCTGGTTCTGCAGAAGTGACTATGACAGACCTGACACCTACCCTGATACGCAATACTTTCATTCCCAATCTATTCCTCTTCAGGATCTGGAATAAAAGGAGACCCTCATTAAAAAATCCTCAATCATAAAGAAATTCTTGTTCTGCAAATAAGTTTATTTGGGGCCCCCATAAACCCCCAAACCATGAAGTGGTTTCTGCTTTGCAAACAGGCCCTGCTTTGCAAATAAGTCCTTCTGAGACTCTTAAGGGGAACGGGTGGTGGGGGGGAGAAGCAGGGGCCCTAAATCCTTTACAAATGTCCCTCCCTTACTCCTATGACTCTGTTTACATATACAAAGGTATTTTAGCTCCCCTGATGTTTGGCCACCAAGGCTATTACAGACTCCTGCTGATCCGTAGTCACCCCTCATTGACTAATAAATGTCAATTTGAATCCTTGAGGTTGTCTGCTTTCTTGTCCTACCTGCACCTCTTTCAACTCCTAACCCTAACAACCTGAGAGAGAGTTAAAACTTCTCATTTCCAACAGTTCTAACCTGGGAGAGAGTGCTCAGCTTAAGTCCTATTCCTAACGTACCCTTGATGAAGCATCAGTTTACTGATGTTTTTTCTGCTAGGGTGAGCAATAAATAATAGCTCCAACATCTTTTTAAAAGAAAACTTTTAAAAATTGAATTTCTGTGATTTTCATACAATATGTTAGTGTTTACTCTCTCCTTATTCTCACCTCCTCTTATTGCCACCTCCACAATTTTATATATATATACACGATAAGGCCCATAGAGTCTAATTTGTGTCCCCAAATGTCCTTCAGTATGGGTCCATCCACTGGAGCCTGGTTAACCTAAAAGTTACATGCTTGAAAGAGACTGTCTCTTCCCATCTCAGCAGCCATTGGTTGCCAAAATTTCCTTAGGTTAGGTTGCGGTTTCTTATCCACTTCCCCATGTCTATGCTGGGATTGTCTGGTTTGAGCTCACATCAGACTGGTGGTGCATGCTGTCACCATTACTGTGAGTTCGTATGAATAACTGTCCAGTTGTCCGGAAAACTCTGTTTCCCTGTGATCATCTACCACCTCCCACCATCTCTGGCTCTTACAGTATTTCTGCCCTCTCTTCTGCAATGATCCTTGAGCCTTGGGAGGCAGAACTTTGATATAGGTGTCCTATTCAGGGATAATCACTCTGCAGCCTCTTGTTCTCTACATGTTGGCCAGTTATGGTTCTCTGTGTTAATCACCATCTGCTGCATAAGGAAGCTCCTCTGGTGAGAGTTGAGAGATGCATTCATTAATCTAAGCTCCAACATCTTAAGTCATTCTTAGTCATAGAACAAAGGGTATAAAGTAGTTTCTCACTGATGTGACCCAAGTAAAACAATGTAAGGGGTGAAGGATTTATTTTATCTCTTAATTTCTGAGGTTTCCTGTATCATGACGAGGAGGACAATGGGACAGAGTTGTTCAAGTCATGACATGCAGGAAGGATGGATGAATGAAATAACATGGAACCAGGACTATATACAGTCCTCAAGGACACATCCCCAGTGACCTACTTCCCCCAACCAAACTCCACCTTTCACAGTTCTACCACCACTTAATGATCTGCCCAAATTTTGAATGAATTAATGGATTAAACCATTGGTTAGGTCAGAGAACTTATATCCTAATTATCTCTGGAAATGCCATCACAGATACCCAGAGGTGTGCTTGACCAATCTCTGAGATATCCTCAGTGTAATCAAGTACATAATTTATGTTAACCATCTAATATAAGCTGAAGGTACTCCTGTACCACATCATCCATTTCCATTTTGTGTACACATGCATACTGTGTTTCATCATCCTTTTGGAATGATTTCACTCTTTAGCTTTATTCCTAGTAAATTCCATACTTTTTTGCTCATATTTTTCTGATTTTATTTATATTTTTTAAGGTAGAAAGTTTAATATAGAGAAATAATAAGACACAGAAATGTTGAGAATGACCAATTAAATTCCATACTTCTTGAAGTTGATGCTGTTTGGAATTTTGTATTTTCCAGTAGATCTCATGCTCAACCTACAAACTATAGACAGTGTTGATCAGAGAAGACATTGCTGGTCATCCCATATGGCCCTGCAGAGACACTGCTGGTTTAAATTTTCAGGTGTATATTTCATATATTTTAGAATCATATAGAGATTAGAATGTGTGCTTGTATGTAACAATAAATATTTAACAAATATTTATGTACTTATAAATATTCATTATACCCTTATTTTGCACTATTGTTCATTGAATCATGCCCCCAAAGCAAATATAACAAGCATTGTGTGACCCAGCACATCTGGAGTCCTATACCCTGCTTTTTACATCATCTATTTTAGATGTTTGTCCTTGCCTACATATACAGCATCTTCAGTTTATAATGGTGTCATTTGATTTTTCACTCCTGCTGTGCAAATGCGATTCACATTCAGCAGAAGCTATATTAGTTACTTTCCTCATTCTGTGATCAAATACCTGACAAAAGCAACTTAAGAAAGGAAGGGTTTATTATGTCTTGTAGTTTGAAGTAACACAGCCTATCGTGGTGGGGAAGGTATGGCATGGTGTATAGTGGTTAAGCTCCCTCTGTTCACAGGAAACAGAGAGAGATCAATACTGGAGCTCAACTGGATTCATTTTTCCTTTATCATTCAGACCAAGATCCCAGCCAATGGAATGGTGAATGTGTCTCCTCAGTTTAACCTCTCTGGAAACATCTTCTTATATACATCCACATGTGCATTTCCTAGGAAATTCTAATCCAGTCACATAGACATTAAAATTATCCTTCTCAAAGACATATTCAAAAGTTGGTCTTTCCCTGCTTGTAATGAGCACTGTGAGAGTCTTTCAAGATGCTGGGAAAGTGGGGTGACACTCCTCCCCTCAAGCTCCCAGTCACCTGTGCTCTCTCATGGTTACTATATATCAAATAACCTTTGTGTTCATTGATTTTTTTTCACAAATGTAAGTTGATGTAGTCCAGGCTCATTTAAGATAGGATCGGCCTAACTATGATGTTTGGTAGGTTAGGTGCATTAAGTGTGATTTTCAACCTAGGATGGATTTATTGGCACATATCCCATTAAAAGCAAAGAGCACTTGTGTATGTCTATAAAGTCATCGGGTAGATTTCAATGGTAATGTTTATCACCTCTACTAATTAACACAACGTTAATTTTTATGCTTTGTCCTCAAATATAATTCATTTTTTTTAATTTGTTGATTGTGTGTGTGTGTGTATCACACAGAACATCCCAAACCATCTTATTCAATTATACACCCGAAGAGCCGAGTGCAACTGACTATGACTAGTAATAATCAGATACATACAGATTAGAGACGCGTGCACCAACATCTCAGTGTTATTAGCAAAAACAATGAGTCTTTCAGTAAGAAGCAGTATCTTTTAAAATGAAATGGCGATCTTTTTTAAAGGTTAAAAATTCATCCAATTTTATGGCTTACAGGGTTTATACTGAGTTCAATATTGTATAACTGTATTAATTCAACAGTGAACCTAAAAATTTTATAACCACTGTGATGGCTAATCCTGGGTGTCAACTTGACTGGATCTGGGATTAACTGAAATGAAAGAGATCTTCTTGATTGGATCATCTGAAGCTGGAAGACACACCCTAAATGTGGGTGTTACCATCTGATGGCAGCCTGTATAAAAGGCCAAGGCAGAGGAGAACGCCAGGCTTCTTGCTGCTTGCCTTCTCTCTCGCTGGTGAGTTCGTCTTGCTGCTGTAGACTAAAGACTAGCTGATCTTTTGGAAAGATTGGGACTACTGAAACATCCAGCCTCATGGACTGAGCGGCTATGGATTCTCAGCCTCTCCAGTGTGGTGCAGCCATTGTTGGACTACTAGGACTCTATCCTGTGAGCTAAGCTGATAAATCTCTATACATATATATTCATTCTACCCGTTCTGTTTCTTTGGAGAACACTGACTAATACAACCACTTTTGAAAGAGATGTATATTTGTTCTAGAAATTAGAAATGATTATTGAGTGTGTTAAAGCTGTAATGAAATACTTCTAAAAATTTTTTTAAAAATATTAAAAAATAAAGCAAAGAGCACATGTAATCTGTTCTGTTGCATATGTTTATGTTTCTAGTTCTTTCTTAAGAGCTATACTTTTTCTTATTGATGTCATCTTTTACATCAATAACCATAAATTTTTAGAAAACCTTGAAATCAGACTATGTGCCTCCTATGCTCATTTTTTAAAAGTTTTTTTTGTATATTTTAGGTTTTTTATATTCCCCCAGGAATTTTCAAGTCACCTTATTGAAATCTATGAAATATACATGACTAGACTTTTATTGGAGCAAATATCACAATTTTCCTATGACCTCAATTTTGCTGTCTCTTACAAATTTTGATATATTGTTTTTATGTTAAATTAATCTAATAATGTGTATACTGACTCAGATTTTGCAAGTCTGTACAAAACCATATGGATTAGGAGCATAGTCCCTTCTTCCTTCTCTGTAGATTCTCATCAGTGATAGGCACAGTAGAACTTACGCTGAAATGCAAAATGCTCTAGGCCCAAGGCTGTCATTGATTTCAATAGCAGCAGACATTCTAGTCCTCACTTGACTCTCAATACTTATTAAAGTTTAGTGGTCAGACTGGGAAAGGTATCATAAGTCTGTGGC